AATGTGATTTGTGATATTGGGCTTTATAAATACATTTTAATTGAATTAATATATTCTTTTGTTTTAGACATGGTTTCTAATATGACAGATTTGTTAATATGAAGAGACCAACTTATGTTTCTTTTTAGGAAAATATCAATGCATTTAATATTACATTCTGGGTTCAAAAGAAATTATTTGCTAAAATGCAAAACAATCTATCCATCTATCTATCTATCCATCTATCTATCTATCTATCCATCTATTTATCGTATCAATCTATTACTCTGTCATAACTTATAACTTTTCATCCCTTAATATATAGGGTAATGTGCGATTCCATATAACATAATCTGCTGATCAAATAAACAAACGGTTTGTCAGTAAATAAATGAAACTATAAATCTTAACCGTTGTAGTAATCAGGTATTGGTGATATTGTGTTCTGCAGCTTTGATATGTTATCAGTCACAATCCATCAGCACCGACGTATTGATCCAGTGTTTCACCTTGTTGGTTATCAGAGAGAGGCCGAACACCCTCAGACCGCAGTGGACCGCCACGAGAACCTCAGGAGCTGTACTCATACCTGTACACACAAAAACAACACAAGTTTAAAAATGATATACATTTATACATTTTTCATAAAGGTTCAAAGTAATTCAATAATTTAGCCGGTTATATCAGTGTACTGTTTATCTGATTCAGTTTGTTCATAAATAATATTTACTTCATTTAAAATGAGGGGATTAAGTCATATTTCTCCAACTATTATCTGCTTGAAATATATGTTCAGAAAACACAACCATGGTGTCAAAGAGGTATTCAATGTGAGCACACCCTGAAAGTAATAACCAACAAAATGAAAGAGGATTATGCTCTAAAGATTTAGCGTTCTGAGATTTCTTAGATTAATTACAACACTCTGGATTCCTAACTGGGCATAGGAAGCAACTTCTCCTGAGCCCATAGAGTGGTGCAGGGATGACGTATTTACCCGGAAGTAAGCTGCGCTCGGGTTCCCTCGACAAAAAAGCAATGGGATTTCTCCATCGGATTTTGGAAAAAAGCTGGAAATAAGGTCTTTGGAAAACGAACCTGTTTGATAAATGCACGTTTTATTCAGCCGGAAAATATCCACTTGTCTACCCTACTTCTATAATTTTCTAATCATAAAAAGCAGAAGCAAAATGCTAACGTTATGCTATAAACGAACTTCAACGTCACGCCAACTTAAGATCGATATTCAAAAATACAGATTCAAAATTGTACAAGTTGAAGTGTTTGTTTTAACAGTTTGCAAGAGCGCAGGTTCTTGATTTTAAGCAGAACAGGGGAAAACAAACTTAGCGGGAGTGTTTACGTGTTCGGCGTACTAACGTACAACGTCCTCGACAACTTCTGTAGTCCTATTCAGCCACTTGTTAACAACCAGTGTTGGGCAAGTTACTTTTAAAAAGTAACTAGTAATAGTTATAGTTACTGCTCTCAAAAAAGTAATAGTTACTTTATTAGTTACTCAATTATAAAAGTAACTAGTAATACGTTACTTTACTTTAAAAATAATAATAATAAAAATACAAGTTTTTGTGTTGTTTTTTGCTGACTAGTTCTCTGAAGGCAACAGACTTGACCGTTGCGATGGGCAGCATGTCCTCAACAACATACCTGGCAATCAATCTATTTAGTTGACTCTGGGTGACCTGTGGCGATTTTAAAAAAATCGTTTTTTGGCTGTTTAGATGGTATTGCTCCATCTGGGTCACTGCCGGTGGTTGAGACGGTGGGGTCTTTGGCGACTAGTTTTATAGCCCCATGTACATTACTTAGGTGCTTCAGGAGATTGGCATTGCTGTTTTTCGATGTGGACAATGCTTTCGGTCCTGCACACAGTTTACATTTTACCGTAATATTTTTTGCGGCCCGAATCAAAACTGAAATAGCTGGATCCAAGTGCAAACCTGGATCTTGATAAGAAAAGGCTCTGGCTCCCATTGTACTTTTAGAGACTCTAGGAACAACCAACAACCCTGCATTCTTGGAACGCAATGCCCTAGTAGGACAATAGGGTATAATGAGCTCTTTAAGGTAAGATGTGTGTCTGCCCATTAAGGGCTTTGTAGGAGAAGAAGAATTTTAAATTCTATCCTGTGTTCTATAGGGAGCCAGTGTAAGGCTAGCCAGTGCTCGAGTAATGTGGTCACTTTCCCTAAGTCTGGTTAGTACACGAGCTGCAGCATTTTGAATGAGCTGAAGCGACTCTGTCTGACTGATTGGTACACCCTGATAATAAGGAGTTACACCGCGCGTTAACACACACACACACAATGGCAGATGCAAGTATCAGCGAGAGCAGCAGCGCATTTGCAACTTGGAAATATAACCACTATTTTCAATTTGTGGGGATAAAGGACGCAAAAAATATACTGCGTTACATTACGTGGTGGACAACGTTGGAAATGAACCGAATCTCCCTGCGGATGTAATTTACAGGCGAATACAGCGATGCTTCACAGTTCATGGAAAATAGTGAACAGTTACCAGAGAGGAGTGATGATTGGTTAACGGGGTACAATTTCAAGTAAGCCAATCAGAGGACAGAGTTGGCGCGGGTCTTGCCTTATGGAGAAAATAACATGTGGAAAATAAAAACATACTCGAACACTTGCTAATGCTAAACACTATACACACAGCAACGCCCACCACCAGGCACACACACACACACACACAAACAACACAACACAGTACACACCACACACACACACACACACACACACACCACACACAAAGGCAGATGCAAGATCAGCGAGAGGCAGCAGCGCTTTGCAACTTGGAAATATAACACTATTTTCATTTGTGGGGATAAAGGACGCAAAAATTATTCGTAAAATGTAAACTGTGTGCAGGAACCGAAAGCATTTGTCCACATCGAAAACAGGCAAGTCCAATCTCCTGAAGCACGTAAGTAATGTACATGATGGGCTATTAAACTAGTCGCCAAAGACCCCACCGTCTCCAACCACCGGCAGTGACCCGATGGAGGCAATACCATTCTAAACAGCCCAAAAAAACGATTTTTTTAAAATCGCCACAGTCAGTCACCCAGAGTCAACTAAATAGATATGATTGCCAAGGTATGTTGTTGCGACGGACATGCTGCCCATCGCACACGGTCAACGTCTGTTGCCTTCAGAGAACTAGTCAGCAAAAAACAACACACAAAACTGTATTTTGATTATTATTTTCTTTAAAGTAAAGTAACGTAATTCTAGTTACTTTTATAGATTGAAGGTAACTAATAAAGTAACTATTACTTTCTTGCTTAGAGCAGTGACTAATAACTTATTAACTAGTTTACCTCTTTTAAAAAAGTAACTTGCCCAACACTGGTTGTTAACAAGTGGCTGATAGGCTACAGAGTTGTCGAGGACGTTGTACGTTAGTAGCCGAACACGTAAACACTCACCGTAAGTTTTGTTTTCCCCTGTTCTGCTTAAAATCAAGAACCTGACACACTCTTGCAAAACATGTTAAACAAACACTTCAACTGTGTACAATTTTGAATCTGTATTTTGTGAATACTCGATCTTAATTAGGGTGACGCTTGAGTTCGTTTAATAGCATACGTTACATTTTGCTCTGCTTCTTTATGATTAGTAAATTACTAGAAGGTAGGGTAGACGAAGTGGATATTTTCCGGATGAATAAAACCGTGCATTTTCAAAACAGGTNATGTACATTACTTAGGTGCTTCAGGAGATTGGCATTGCTGTTTTTCGATGTGGACAATGCTTTCGGTCCTGCACACAGTTTACATTTTACCGTAATATTTTTTGCGTCCTTTATCCCCACAAATTGAAAATAGTGGTTATATTTCCAAGTTGCAAATGCGCTGCTGCTCTCGCTGATACTTGCATCTGCCATTGTGTGTGTGTGTGTTGTGTGTGTGTGTGTGTGTGTGTGTGTGTGTGTGTGTGTGTGTGTGTGTGTGTGTGTGTGTGTGTGCTGGTGGTGAGCGTTGCCGTGTGTGTATGTGTTAGCATTAGCAAGTGTTCGAGTATGTTTATTTTCCATGGTATTTTCTCCATAAGGCAAGACCCGCCCAACTCTGTCTCTGATTGGCTTACCCTGAAATGTTACCCCGCGTTAACCAATCATCACTCCTCTCTGGTTACTAGTTCACCTATTCCCATAAGTAACGCCGTGAGAGTACAGCGCTGTAAATTCGCTGTTAATGTTACATCCGCAGTGGAGGTTGGAGAATCAGTTCCACGTTTCCACCACATAATGTAACGCAGATAACGCGCCCATTTAAATCACCAGTAACTATAACGGCGTTACTTAATGGGAATAGAGAACTAGTACCGAGACTGATTGATGACCGCATCAAAGAGTAGTAGCATTACAGTAACGCGTTAATCCGAACACTGTTAACAACGGATCGTTGCCTTCTGGACACGTAAATACTCTTCAAAAATCACCAGTACTCGGTCACTGCTGATGTATATGTCGTAGAACAAAACGCCACCAGTCACTCCGTCTCCACAACATTGGTGCACAAACACCACACCACCCATCTCCAGCATATACTCCAAAATCCTATGCAGATGAAATATCAATTGAGAAGCAGCAGGTATTGCTACTTGGAATGCTACCACTATTCAATTTGCCGGGTTATAGGACTCGTCACTGTTTACCACTCCTATGTAAGCTGTGTGCAGGTCCCAAAGCATGGTTCACATCGTTAACAGTCATGGAATCTCCTGTCACTGTGTATCATGCTATAAAATGTTCACTATGTCATTACAGTCTCAACAGCGGCCATGTGTCCCAGATGCAGCAATACCATCTAAACAGCCAAAAAAACATTTCAATAAAAATCGCCACAGGTCAACCATAGTCAACTAAATAGAATATGATTGCAAACAAGTCAACATATAGAAATAATTATATTAAATAAATAAAATAAGAGAACAAATTATTAATTGAATGAAACTAGCAAAAAAAAAAAAAAAAAAAAAAAAAAAAAAAAAAAAAAAAAAAAAAACAAAAAAAAAAAAAAAAAAAAAAAAAAAAAACAAAAGAAAAAAAAAAAAAAAAAAAAAAAAAAAAAAAAAAAAAAAAAAAAAAAAAAAAAAAAAAAAAAAAAAAAAAAAAAAAAAAAAAAAAAAAAAAAAAAAAAAAAAAAAAAAAAAAAAACAAACAAAAAAAAAAAAAAAAAAAAAAAAAAAAAAAAAAAAAAAAAAAAAAAAAAAAAAAAAAAAAAAAAAAAAAAAAAAAAAAAAAAAAAAAAAAAAAAAAAAAAAGAAAAAAAAAAAAAAAAAAAAAAAAAAAAAAAAAAAAAAAAAAAAAAAAAAAAAAAAAAAAAAAAAAAAAAAAAAAAAAAAAAAAAAAAAAAAAAAAAAAAAAAAGAAAAAAAAAAAAAAAAAAAAAAAAAAAAAACCCCCCGCCCCCCCCGCTCCTCACCAACATGCTGACGGATTTGCTGTTTTTTCGTTTCGATTACTTCTCCACCCATCTTATCTTCAAACACTCCTTGAGAGCACCTCTTTCTTCTACAAATGTTCGGCCATTCGAGGTACCTTTCTT